ACAAAAATTTCTATAATGTTTAACTCAATAACGATACATACTTGCAAATACTCTTTGAATAAGACGTTAACAGGGTAATCCTAAATTTTATAACGTAAAAATTAGCATAAAACGTAAAATTACGAATAGAAATACATAAAATATAAATTTTCACATACATTAAGAATATTTCGAATCCTGATAGCCAATGGTTCTTCCTGTTCATAGTCCACACCATAATTATCAAGATCGTCTCCTAAATAATTGTATAACAATGCAGTATTTCTTTAAGTATCAAATTACTGTACTTTAACATTAATTATTATACATAATTACCTTCATCTATTAACTTTCCAGTAAGCATTTGCATTCCAAGCATTCTTGCAGTCGCAGATGATATTTGTGGATGTACAATACTAAACTCTTTCTTTTTTTCATCATTCAATCTGCTCCCCATGTCATCATATTGAATTTCATAAAATTCAACTAATTGACATTCGGTATTCGGAATTAATAACCCATTTAAAATATTATCATCACCATTGTTTTCTGTATCCATTCTTTTCTTTGCTATTTGTTCAATAAGTCCAATAATTTTATTAATTTCATCTTGTGTCAGAATTCTTCCCTCCATATCTGCAGAATTACGAAATTCTTTAATAATGTTAATGAGATCTGGGATTCCTATTTTTTGTCTAACACCCATTTCAAAAAATAGTTCGTTGTATTGTTTATATTTTTGTGGAAGTTGTATAATTACTGAAGTATTACTTATTAAGCTATCATCTAATTCAAATACCACCCTAGTTGATGGATAAAATTTATCGTTGCAAAAAATCCAATTTGCATCAGTCGATAAAAGTTCTCGCTTAAATTTTTCCATTTCCATTCGTGATTGCTGGTCTTTATTTCTGAATGCTTCCATCATATATTTATAAATCGAATCACATATTTTGTCAGGCTTCTGACGATGATTATATAATTGAGTGCGTGATATGGAACTACATGCTTTGAGCTGTTTGAGTACAATGTCCACTGGTGGATATGAATTCCATAGAAGAGTAGAAAATAATTTATTTTTAATACGATATTCTAAAATTGGTATTATTAACCCTACTATATTCTTATAAACTTTATCTCGACAATCATTTGGTTTCGAGAATAGGTTCTTTCCTGTATAATCTACTGTGGGGAGCCATTCAGTATTTATCAAAAGTGTATACAATTGTTGAAGTTTACTATTATTTGTTGGTGCATTATTAGATCGAGATTGATGTTTTCCAACAAGTTTGTCAAAATTATCATCGATATATTGAACTAGCTTCATTGATATCTTGTGCACTATTTCTCTCATATCAGCAAGTTCTTTGTGTTCACTCATAATATTTAATCGTTGAATAATATCATCTGATGAAAGAAATTGCTTCATACCTAGTAATCTTAATGATGGCAAAATTAGATGTTTATAATCAGGTATGTTTTTTAAAGGAAACACAATTTCATTTTCAAAAAACAATTCTGAAATTTTCCAATTATCTGGGTCATATAATTCGATCGGTCTTTTTAATTGATATTCTACAGTATCATTTGGTTGAGATTGTATTGACACTGATGGAACAAATGCTGTTTTCTCCAATGTATTTTTCAGATTTGAATCTCCAGAAAGTAATTGCATTAACCGTTCAAAAAGTTTTGTAATTACAATTTTTAGAACATTTGAAGGTTGAGATTCTAAATACGGGATAACGAAATTACACCAATATTCTTGTCGTGACAATTGTGGAATTTTGATAATATTTTTCAATAGATACTTTGAACTTGATATATCTGTGTTAAGAAAACCATTCACATCAGGTGCAATAATATGCCCATAACTTTTTTCATCTTCTACTGGAAGCAAATACCACTTCTTATCCCCAGGTTTAAGAGCTATTAATTCGTCCCTGTCAACTTCCGTAAATATTGGAAGATGTTTAATTATGTCAATAGGATCGAAATTATTG